ATTAAAAATAAACAAAATAAAAATAATTTAAAAAGTAAACAAATAATCAAATTACGTAACTCGTTAATAAAAATTACACAATATAAACAAAGTAATTAAATTAAACAACAAGTAAACAAACAAATTAAACAAAATAAAAATACAATCAAAGTAATTAAATTACGTAACTAATTAAAAACTAATTAAAATTTAAAAATTAAATTCAAACTAATTAAAAAACGCATTAAAATTACGTAACTAGGTCAATGATTACGTCATATTGTCCCTGATTACGTCACAAGGTCACTGATTACGTCACAAGGTCACCGGTGGTGACCTACTGACCTACTCCCCCTCCTGCTCACCCACCCTAGGGTGGGTGAGTATTTTACTATATCTCATTGTCCATCCTGCTCACCCACCCTCACCCACCTGCTCACCCAGGTGGGTGAGTATTTTACTATATGTCATTGTCCATCCTGCTCCCCCACCCTCACCCACCTTCACCCAGGTGGGTGAGTATTTTACTATATGTCGGTGTACCTCCTGCTCCCCCAGGGAGTATTTTACTATATCCCGTTGTCCATCCGCATCACCCACTCCACCCAGGTGGGTGAGTATTTTACTATATCTCGTTGTCCATCCGCATCCGAGTATTTTCCTATATATCCTTTGCTCCTGCTCCTGCTCCTGCTCACCCAGCGCCTGCGCCTGCGCCTTCGCTCCAAAAGGGACCTAATATACTACTCGCATGAAGTTTATTTGATACATTTTTCAACGTAATCTTTCAAATTAAAAGGATATTTCGAGTAAATAAGAAGGTGTGTGCCTAACGTGGCTCTTATCTGATATTTTTCGATCACAGTAAGGGTTGGATGTGATGAGAATCATGAGATTCCTTGAGAAATACATGCTCTGGGTAAGGCAAACACAACTTCTGTACGCTTCTCTGGTGCATCTGAATGGTCATCCAATCACATACGAATGTTGGGTCAATTACAAAGTCTTCATCTGAATTATCATCTCACCCCAACAGAAGGCTGACTCAAGTAATACCTGATGACAGAAAAATATGCACCTGAATAGTCATCCAAGAGTTTAAAAATGTTGAGTCAAATCAACTTCCTAATAGATCTTGAATATGGAGTGGCATTCATAATTCACTGAAGCTCAGTGTGTTCAAGACGGATATGTCGGCCCAACAATAAACTAGTTGAACCAGAACAGTCAAGCACATAGACAATATAACATTGTATTCTTCAGTGAAACTAAACATTTCTTTGTAAAATGATATCTGTTAATCAGATTTTCTGAATACAGATAAATAATTCATTAAGATTTATTGGACGGGAATTAAAAGTGGTAAATAAAAGATCCATATCTGGTGCGTTGGACCACATAGTGTGATACTTATCTTTCCCCGATACTATCATGTCATTTGTTGAATATTATACGCCGGCTTCGCGTTTAAATAATTAATGAGTGTTTGAATAACTCACAGATACGCATTACTTGACTTGCTTTGAACGTTTTGATGTATGGGTGCGACAAGGCACACTTCAGTCTGTTATTATTTACAACTCATTTTTATAATACGTGTTAAAGTTGTAGATTTTTTTTTTTTGAAAAGTCGAGTGTTAAAACTAGTTTTAATAGAAAAATCGAGCGTTACAATTATAGGTCTAATTAAAAAAAAACAACCCCGAGAGTTTAAATTGCAAGTCTCATAGAAATCTTGTAAAAAGTGTGAAGGTCTAATAGAAAAATCTAGTGTTAAATAGTAGATTTAATAGAAAAGTTAAAATTGTAGGTCATTAAAAAAATGTGGATTATTAAAATTGCAAGTGCAATAGAAAAGTCGAGTGTTAAAATGGTGCTACAAAAGTAAGATAAATGGCAAAACACTGAGCAGAAGACGAAGAAATGTTGGCCAAACTGAATCGATTGATCGCATGAGATCACCCCTCGCGTCCAACACACAAGCGCCCAAATCTATCTGCCATCATGTGCTTGTTGTCTCCAGAAGATGTAAGCTCACACTTATTTTATTTATTCCATTCGTTTCATTTAAAGTCATACATGCTTAGGAATAGCATCCTAGTAGATCTTTATTCTTGTTTGTGGAATATCAGCGGCGAGACTCGACAGATGTAGATAGTTTTATTGTTTTATCGGGTCTCGCTAACAGCTGAAGGTATTTATAGAACTGTCTTAGAAAGGACAAGAGGTTACGCTGTAGCAATCGAACAAGTGACTTCAGACATGACATAGACGTGTGCAGGCTTCTGTGCACTTAGACGTATAGGGATGGAACTACAATAAAATTCATCGCAGTTTATGACCCAGAATAAACGCGACTGCTGTTTGGTTGACTCACTTAAATGTTGGACATAGTCACTTGAGATATACATCTTAGGTGGACTTTGAATAAGTCTTGGACTTTGCCGCTTAAAACAAAGAAGTGTTGAATTAATGACTGCAGGTATACTGAATAAATGTCAACTTCGCCCTATGGTAGGCCTGTTTCGTTTGCCAGGATAGGTGTAGGTAAAACATTAACGCAAGTGTCTTCTCTCGTCCTGGTTTATTTAGTTGAAACAGAACATGGTTAATAATGTCTAACATAATATAAAGTTAGTACACAGGTTTATTTGGACTCCGTAAACCACTTCACGCTTTTTGTTTCTTTTATCATTTCTCCTTACCCCTCCAACCTCGCCCATCGTAAGACACCCCCCCCCCCCCCAGATGTCGTCTTGATTCAGCCTACCACTTGTCTCAATTAAAAGTTTTGTATTTAAAAAAAAAATTAAACTCGAATTCCGTTCTCACTTATTAATTTGATAGAGCTGGTTCAAGATTGTTTTGATATATTTTTAAAATTATCAATAACAAAAAAGTTTTTTAGTACGAGAAACAACTTGACCTACTGAATTAAAAAAAAAAAAACTTAAAAAATGCAAATGCGTTGACGTCATACTTAAAGACCCCCCCCCCCCCTCCTCCCCATTCTCGTCACACAATTCTGAACCTCTCCTTCCTGGGACAATAATACGATTTTTTTATTTTTTAAATTTTTTTTTCAACAACAATAAATGGCATAAGATACAGATTAGTTTGCACGTCAGGAATGTAGGTGTTGTGTCAACAAGGATTAAGTATAGTTCAACTCTTTGTAGATGATAGGTCTATATAAAATCACGATTATAGCTCGCATGTTAATAATGTATGCATAGTACGCCTATATATTGCTATTCTGAAAAAGGTAGATAAAATGTTCTCAAAAGGGTTAGTTGGGTACTGTAGGTTTTTAAAAAGATGAGTGATATCTTTATTGAATCTTGTATTACGGTGATGCACGTATAAGAAGGTGATGTACGATGCACGTGTAGGATGGTGAGGCACGTGTAAGGTGGTGATGCACGTGTAAGAAGGTGATGCACGTGTAAGAAGGTGATGCACGTGTAAGAAGGTGATGCACGTGTAAGAAGGTGATGCACGTGTAAGAAGGTGATGCACGTGTAAGAAGGTGATGCACGTGTAAGAAGGTGATGCACGTGTAAGAAGGTGATGCACGTGTAAGGTGGTGATGCACGTGTAAGAAGGTGATGCACGTGTAAGAAGGTGATGCACGTGTAAGAAGGTGATGCACGTGTAAGAAGGTGATGCACGTGTAAGAAGGTGATGCACGTGTAAGAAGGTGATGCACGTGTAAGAAGGTGATGTACGTGTAAGATGATGATGCACGTGTAAGAAGGTGATGCACGTGTAAGAAGGTGATGCACGTGTAAGAAGGTGATGCACGTGTAAGAAGGTGATGTACGTGTAAGATGATACAGATGTAAAAATGTGATGCAGATGTAAAAAAGATGATGCACGTTTAAGGTGATTCACTTGTAATAAGGTGATGTACGTGTAAGAAGGTGATACAAGTGTAATAAGGTGATGTACATGTAAGGTGGTGATACACGTGTAATAAGGTGATGTACGTGTAAGAAGGTTATACAAGTTTATTCCTCGTGTCATAAGAACATAAAGGTTTTTTAGGTCGTATAAGCGTAAGGATATACAATAAAGATAAATAAGGGCTTATATTTAAATATAAATAACGTGCACATTATCTATTTAAATCATGTTAGGGGGCTAATTAAAGTTTGTAACACACAGAAACTCATGCTAGTTTTGTATTAAGGAAAAAATTTGGCATGGGCTGTTTAGTAATGCCCTTTAAGCCATGAGAGGTGCAGCAGGCCCTATATACTGCTAATAGAGTCGGTTGACAGCTGTGACCGCATTCATTTTTACCCGTGTCTGCATCAACCAGAGACTGCAGTATTTAGGCGACTACAAAGAGAACCGAAGGGCAATGCGAGTCGCGCTGTTTCTAAAGGGATGAGTGTTGTGTGTTCTTTCAATGGGCGAGAGCTGTGTAGCGCTCCAAACAATGAGAGCCGTATAGTGCCTAAACCACTGAGAGCCGTATTATGTGTTTGAAGCAGGGCGAGTGTTTGTGTCGAGCGACCAGCCCCAACTCATCAATAATTTGTCGTGTGCACCTAGCGGCGTGGCTGAATAGCGGTTTTAGCTTCCTTGCTGACTGGCAGCAACAGCGTGCGTCTATGACACATCCAGTCTCCTACTTGTGACACAGTCTTCTACACTTGCTTATGTGATGTCTTTATTTCGGGATGTTTATGCACCGTTCTGTGATTCCTAGCATTACTGGATACTGTGTAAAAGAACCGTCTGGGTCTGTTGTTCCCTTTTCATGTCATCGGATTATGTCTCCCTGCCAGCCGAGCGCGCGCTGAAGGGACAGTCTGTGTGACCGAAGCGTGTTGATTTCCCGAGCAGATTTTTTTGGCTATCATTCAGGTAGTACTGGTGGTCATTTTGTTTTGATTCGGAGATGCAGCATCCAAGGGGAAGTTGCTAAAACCTCGATGCAGGCTATGTATATTGGGTTGTCTGCAACCTTATGTCCAGCTATTATTAGCATTTATTATTTCGTCTGTGTACAGGCCCACTACTCCAGATTCTGAATGAGAAAGGCAAGTCAAACAGAGGCCGTCTAGGCTCTTTTAGTTCGTCGTTTAAGGAAAGCAAGAAAGAAGTGGTGAGACAAGTTTTTCTCTTCACCAACCATATTTTGCTCACAACCAGGGCTTCCAATGGCCGACTACACCTTGCCAAGGTAATTCACTTTTAAACTTAAATTCTTATGTCATTTTAACTACTCCAGGTCATGCACATATTGAAGCCAAACACACGTCAACACAATGCATAATTTACATGAAAATAGTAGGACCTAAAGGAATAGAACATATCATGCGTATTTGCAGGCATCTATGTATCAAACATTTTAAATTTTATATCTATGAAACAATTGTTTAAAAGCAACACTGACAAAACCATAAGCATACTTATGTCATAAAACGTATACTAGCTTAAAATTTGATCTTTAGTTAATTTGTCATTTTGGTTTCCTTTAAAAGATCTATCACATTTCAAAATCACGAAGGCTAATCCATTATTAATCAGTCAAACTATTTTATAATACACTACAAAAATTAGATCAATCTCATAAAATTGCTAATAAATCACCATTATCATGCCTCTACTATAATTTTTTTAAAGTCAGAGAAATTGATCAACTAGACAGAGGGGGGGGGGGGGGGGGCAGACACTGTTAAAAGTATATACTTACTATATAAATTCCATTTTGTTTGGGGGGGGGGGGTAGACACTGTTAAAAGTATATATTTACTATATAAATTCCATTTTGTTTGGGGGGGGGGGTAGACACTGTTAAAAAAATATATTTACTATATACATTCCACTTTGTTTGGGGGGGGGGTAGACTCTCTATGGGAGATGACTTGAAGAAACTCTGATTAAAATACGTGCAGGTAGTCACATATTTTTTTACTTGAACATTTCTTCTGGGGATCAATCAACATCATAGAATAATTTTACCCTCAGTCACGAAGAGGATGGCTCACAGCATTAAATGTTCATTCTCTAATCATAAATAAATGATAATTAAGGTAAACTGTTATGTTCTATGTTATGTTCTATGTAGATGTTATAATAAAGGATTATACCAATTTCAGTGCTCTTAGTTTAGAAATATAATATTTAAAAAAACAACAACGCCATTCTGAAATAATTTTCTGTTAGTGAGCATAAAAAATTGTAGGCTTATATCAACCTCTTTTTTTAAAATATTTAACATTAGAAAAAATATTAATTCTTACCTTTGGAATATTTAAAAGTATAGAAATAAATAATAGAAAATGCACTTGTAATAAATAAAAATTGTTCATATCAAAACTTCTAAAACTTAAATTGATAATTCAGTTTTTGAAAGTGAAAAATACCTGATGACAAAGCAAGAATGAATTACTGTTACTTTGATGCAAGTAGCCTCAGTAGTCATAGATTTTGTTTAGTTTCTTGGAAATATTGAAAGATATTATTTAGGTAGGGCTGTTAAAGAAACTAAAATGATTACCATTTTATGAAAGTTGAAAAAAAATTAAATTCCGTTATGGATTTTACATTTTAAAAAATAGTTTTATCGGATATAGTGTAAACTTATATTGCTGGATTTAGTAAAGCTAATCCAAATATTGAGATGTTAAAACAATTGTTTATTAAAATATTTTTAAGCATGAAACACAGTGGGCCCACAAGTACAGAAAAATAAAAAAAATATCCCTATCTGTATCAATATTTAAAAAAATTGTAGTTATATATCATTTCTGTTTTCTTAATCTTTAAAATGTATATTAAAAGTTTTTGTTTCATTAGTTTAGCTGTTCTTAAAATTAAACAATTTTGTTATTCATGTTTAAGTTAGACATATTTTAATCCAACAACATACAGTGGACATGTTTTAATCCAACAACATACAGTGAGCATATTTTAATCCAACAACATACAGTGGACATGTTTTAATCCAACAACATACAGTGGACATGTTTTAATCCAACAACATACAGTGTACATGTTTTAATCCAACAACATACTGTGGACATAATTTAATCCAACAACATACAGTGGACATGTTTTAATCCAACAACATACAGTGGACATGTTTTAATCCAACAACATACAGTGGGCATATTTTAATCCAACAACATACAGTGGACATGTTTTAATCCAACAACATAATCTACAGTGGACATGTTTTAATCCAACAACATAATCTACAGTGGACATGTTTTAATCCAACAACATACAGTGGACATGTTTTAATCCAACAACATAATCTACAGTGGACATGTTTTAATCCAACAACATACAGTGGACATGTTTTAATCCAACAACATACAGTGGACATGTTTTAATCCAACAACATAATCTACAGTGGACATGTTTTAATCCAACATACAGTGGACATGTTTTAATCCAACAACATACAGTGGACATGTTTTAATCCAACAACATACTGTGGACATAATTTAATCCAACAACATACAGTGTACATGTTTTAATCCAACAACATACAGTGGACATGTTTTAATCCAACAACATACAGTGGACATGTTTTAATCAAACAACATACAGTGGACATGTATTAATCCAACAACATACAGTGGACATGTTTTAATCCAACAACATACTGTGGACATAATTTAATCCAACAACATACAGTGGACATGTTTTAATCCAACAACATACAGTGGACATGTTTTAATCCAACAACATACAGTGGACATGTTTTAATCAAACAACATACAGTGGACATGTTTTAATCCAACAACATATAGTGGACATGTTTTAATCCAACACATACAGTGGACATGTTTTAATCCAACAACATAATCTACAGTGGACATGTTTTAATCCAACAACATACAGTGTACATGTTTTAATCCAACAACATACAGTGGACATGTTTTAATCCAACAACATACAGTGGACATGTTTTAATCCAACAACATACAGAGGGGACAGTATTTTTTTTTTTAAATTATTTTAATTCAACCTGAGACAACACAATTAAATATATAGACTCTAGATCTAGGCCTAATTGGCCATAATTCAGATTCAGCCTACACCAGACACCATTTCCTTTCTAACAATTGAAATACATCTAGCAGGTTGCTTTATGTCCTCAGTGTTCTTTTATAAAGAAAGCCCTCTCTTACTAAAATAACATGTACCAAAAATCACTTCATATTTTAAAATAAGTAATTAAAAAAAACATCAGAAGAGACAAAAAAACCCCTAGACTGACCAGTTCATTCAACCTGTTGAGTTATCACAAATTGACGTCTGTCTAAATAGCTTGTCGTCAAAAACTATTGATTGATATACATACATAATAGCTAGCCATCAATAGATATTGATTATTTCCATTCTTAGCAATCAAACGGTCGCTTTAGCAGGTATGGACCAGTAGCCAAAAATAGCCCGATCTAGAACGTCAACACGGCCACGCGGGATAAGACTTGACTCTCCTATGCTTAGAAACAAGAGATGGAGCTAAAAATAGCTCGGCTCTAAAACATCAACAATATGACGCGTCATGACGCTGGCAATGGCTAGATCCAACAAGTTCTTTAAGAGCCTTATCTATTTAGATACATTTCGATAGCCTACACAGATCTTTCAGATGTTAGGTCTATTACTTAGTCTACTTATGCATAGTTTTCACAAAGGGGCCGTTCAAAAATATCCTCACATGTTCAGACTTTTGTAACGATGTGTTATTTGGGGAGTTGAAGAAATGTGACGTAGCATATATTTTCTACTTTAACTACATTACATGATGAAAAACGTAACGAGTAATATTTAAGGCTTGAAGGTTGGGTTGGAACTTAGTGACTTAATGGGGTGCTGGGTGGAGGAGGGGTAAGTTGACTAATATTGCATAACATCATTATGGATGTCCCCCTCATCTCAAGTTTATCAACAATTTACTGCTTTGCCATCATTGCTCAGTTTTACATAGTCTGTGGGATGAAACGAAGTAGTGGTAGTAGGCTAGACTTTGACTACACATTGTGCGCTCGAAGTAAACTCACACTTATATTATACCCAACACATTTTTGATTTAAAGAACGGTAGATAATTACTTTTTAAAAAATAATTATTTAACCATAGTTTTTAAATTAGCGAGTTAGCCTACCAAGTTAAAGACGGACTTAAAAAGAGCAAGAGCGACAAATATAAAGCATTGACACCTTTAATTACTATAAACAGCAATTTCAAACTCGCGTCTACAGTGGTACATGTTCATGACTCGTCATTTTAAACACTAATTAAATCATTTTTTTAAACTGCGTGGAACATTCCTACAATTATATACTAACAGAAATCAGATAAATACTGCCAAAGAGAGACTAAGGGGGAGCAAGTAAAAATGATGTATTGGGCCAAGTAATCGGCATATTAGACATAGTAATAGCTAATACATAAAGTCAGCAGGACCATATAGCACCAAACAGTGCGATATAACATACAGCAGGGCACAATATTATACAGAGACATTACACAAGTCAACTTCTGACAAGTGAACACGTTACAAATCTCATTTTAACCATGGTACACTGAAACATTACATAATCGCTCCGAAACCAGCTACAGCTGAAAAGAAAACCTGAAAAGAAAAAAAAAGATAATGTCAAGGACGCCTGTGGTCAGGACGTAGTTACCACCTCATCAAGATATCTGGTCGTTCACCCCTAACTTAATTTCAGTTGACAGATCTATACATCCAGGGTCAGGACGTAGTTATCACCTCATCAAGATATCTGGTCGTTCACCCCTAACTTAATTTCAGTTGACAGATCTATACATCCAGGGTCAGGACGTAGTTATCACCTCATCAAGATATCTGGTCGTTCACCCCTAACTTAATGTCAGTTGACAGATCTATACATCCAGGGTCAGGACGTAGTTATCACCTCATCAAGATATCTGGTCGTTCACCCCTAACTTAATTTCAGTTGACAGATCTATACATCCAGGGTCAAGGCGTAGTTACCACCTCATCAAGATATCTGGTCGTTCACCCCTAACTTAATGTCAGTTGACAGATCTATACATCCAGGGTCAGGACGTAGTTATCACCTCATCAAGATATCTGGTCGTTCACCCCTAACTTAATTTCAGTTGACAGATCTATACATCCAGGGTCAGGACGTAGTTATCACCTCATCAAGATATCTGGTCGTTCACCCCTAACTTAATGTCAGTTGACAGATCTATACATCCAGGGTCAGGACGTAGTTATCACCTCATCAAGATATCTGGTCGTTCACCCCTAACTTAATGTCAGTTGACAGATCTATACATCCAGGGTCAGGGCGTAGTTACCACTTCATCAAGATATCTGGTCGTACACCCCTAACTTAATTTCAGTTGACAGATCTATACATCCAGGGTCAGGACGTAGTTATCACCTCATCAAGATATCTGGTCGTTCACCCCTAACTTAATGTCAGTTGACAGATCTATACATCCAGGGTCAGGACGTAGTTATCACCTCATCAAGATATCTGGTCGTTCACCCCTAACTTAATGTCAGTTGACAGATCTATACATCCAGGGTCAGGACGTAGTTATCACCTCATCAAGATATCTGGTCGTTCACCCCTAACTTAATTTCAGTTGACAGATCTATACATCCAGGGTCAGGGCGTAGTTACCACTTCATCAAGATATCTGGTCGTACACCACTAACTTAATGTCAGTTGACAGATCTAAACATCCTAACTTTGACTACATCGCCTAACTTAATGTTAGTTGACAAATCTATACATCCTAACTTTGACCACATCGCCTAACTTAATGTTATTTTACAGATCTATACATCCTAACTTTGACCACATCGCCTAACTTAATGTTAGTTGACAGATCTATACATCCTAACTTTGACCACATCGCCTAACTTAATGTTAGTTTACAGATCTATACATACTAACTTTGACCACATCGCCTAACTTAATGTTAGTTGACAGATCTATACATCCTAACTTTGACCACATCGCCTAACTTAATGTCAGTTGACAGATCTATACATCCTAACTTTGACCACATCGCCTAACTTAATGTCAGTTGACAGATCTATACATCCTAACTTTGACCACATCGCCTAACTTAATGTCAGTTGACAGATCTATACATCCTAACTTTGACCACATCGCCTAACTTAATGTCAGTTGACAGATCTATACATCCTAACTTTGACCACATCGCCTAACTTAATGTCAGTTGACAGATCTATACATCCTAACTTTGACCACATCGCCTAACTTAATGTCAGTTGACAGATCTATACATCCTAACTTTGACCACATCGCCTAACTTAATGTCAGTTGACAGATCTATACATCCTAACTTTGACCACATCGCCTAACTTAATGTCAGTTGACAGATCTATACATCCTAACTGACCACATCTCCTAACTTAATGTCAGTTGACAGATCTATACATCCTAACTTTGACCACATCGCCTAACTTAATGTTAGTGGACAGATCTATACATCCTAACTTTGACCACATCGCCTAACTTAATGTCAGTTGACAGATCTATACATCCTAACTTTGACCACATCGCCTAACTTAATGTCAGTTGACAGATCTATACATCCTAACTTTGACCACATCGCCTAACTTAATGTCAGTTGACAGATCTATACATCCTAACTTTGACCACATCGCCTAACTTAATGTTAGTGGACAGATCTATACATCCTAACTTTGACCACATCGCCTAACTTAATGTCAGTTGACAGATCTATACATCCTAACTTTGACCACATCGCCTAACTTAATGTTAGTGGACAGATCTATACATCCTAACTTTGACCACATCGCCTAACTTAATGTTAGTGGACAGATCTATACATCCTAACTTTGACCACATCGCCTAACTTAATGTTAGTGGACAGATCTATACATCCTAACTTTGACCACATCGCCTAACTTAATGTTAGTGGACAGATCTATACATCCTAACTTTGACCACATCGCCTAACTTAATGTTAGTGGACAGATCTATACATCCTAACTTTGACCACATCGCCTAACTTAATGTTAGTGGACAGATCTATACATCCTAACTTTGACCACATCGCCTAACTTAATGTCAGTTGACAGATCTATACATCCTAACTTTGACCACATCGCCTAACTTAATGTCAGTTGACAGATCTATACATCCTAACTTTGACCACATCGCCTAACTTAATGTCAGTTGACAGATCTATACATCCTAACTTTGACCACATCGCCTAACTTAATGTCAGTTGACAGATCTATACATCCTAACTTTGACCACATCGCCTAACTTAATGTCAGTTGACAGATCTATACATCCTAACTTTGACCACATCGCCTAACTTAATGTCAGTTGACAGATCTATACATCCTAACTTTGACCACATCGCCTAACTTAATGTCAGTTGACAGATCTATACATCCTAACTTTGACCACATCGCCTAACTTAATGTCAGTTGACAGATCTATACATCCTAACTTTGACCACATCGCCTAACTTAATGTCAGTTGACAGATCTATACATCCTAACTTTGACCACATCGCCTAACTTAATGTCAGTTGACAGATCTATACATCCTAACTTTGACCACATCGCCTAACTTAATGTTAGTGGACAGATCTATACATCCTAACTTTGACCACATCGCCTAACTTAATGTTAGTGGACAGATCTATACATCCTAACTTTGACCACATCGCCTAACTTAATGTCAGTTGACAGATCTATACATCCTAACTTTGACCACATCGCCTAACTTAATGTCAGTTGACAGATCTATACATCCTAACTTTGACCACATCGCCTAACTTAATGTCAGTTGACAGATCTATACATCCTAACTTTGACCACATCGCCTAACTTAATGTCAGTTGACAGATCTATACATCCTAACTTTGACCACATCGCCTAACTTAATGTCAGTTGACAGATCTATACATCCTAACTTTGACCACATCGCCTAACTTAATGTCAGTTGACAGATCTATACATCCTAACTTTGACCACATCGCCTAACTTAATGTCAGTTGACAGATCTATACATCCTAACTTTGACCACATCGCCTAACTTAATGTCAGTTGACAGATCTATACATCCTAACTTTGACCACATCGCCTAACTTAATGTCAGTTGACAGATCTATACATCCTAACTTTGACCACATCGCCTAACTTAATGTCAGTTGACAGATCTATACATCCTAACTTTGACCACATCGCCTAACTTAATGTCAGTTGACAGATCTATACATCCTAACTTTGACCACATCGCCTAACTTAATGTTAGTGGACAGATCTATACATCCTAACTTTGACCACATCGCCTAACTTAATGTTAGTGGACAGATCTATACATCCTAACTTTGACCACATCGCCTAACTTAATGTCAGTTGACAGATCTATACATCCTAACTTTGACCACATCGCCTAACTTAATGTCAGTTGACAGATCTATACATCCTAACTTTGACCACATCGCCTAACTTAATGTCAGTTGACAGATCTATACATCCTAACTTTGACCACATCGCCTAACTTAATGTTAGTGGACAGATCTATACATCCTAACTTTGACCACATCGCCTAACTTAATGTTAGTGGACAGATCTATACATCCTAACTTTGACCACATCGCCTAACTTAATGTTAGTGGACAGATCTATACATCCTAACTTTGACCACATCGCCTAACTTAATGTTAGTGGACAGATCTATACATCCTAACTTTGACCACATCGCCTAACTTAATGTCAGTTGACAGATCTATACATCCTAACTTTGACCACATCGCCTAACTTAATGTTAGTGGACAGATCTATACATCCTAACTTTGACTGGAATAGTGTCTGGGTTGAATAATGAAAAGGGGTGGGTGAGGAGATGAGGAGATGGTGTGTGCTACCATTCATTCCGTCCACCTCTTAAATTGTAGGCTTAATATATGTCACTTTGTTAGCCTTCACATATAAACATTGAGCAGATTAACTAGAAATAATACTGACCTTAAAATTATGGGGGATTCGTATTCATTCAACAGAGAGATGATCTGCTACAATACTCTCAAGTCTACCTTGTTAATAAACGGCATCACTTTTATTTCAGCATATCGGTAAAATAGTTCTTCTCGACTGCACACTAATTGAAGATCCCAACTCGGACATATTCTTCTTTGACGAAGAAAGTAAGTTTTTGTTCGATACTTTTTCCTGTTTCTTTCTTTAGCTTCATGTGGTGTCTTGTATTTTTGTTTTCAAGTTTAGTTCCGTTAAAGTTTGATTTCCCGCTGACACTATGGGCTTCATATTGTATTATTAAAAACAAGCAACACTACTGCTTACAAAACATCACAATCATGTATCGCATTCATTGAATAATTCTAAGCCTATTACTTTCTCTTTGATTGGTCGATATGGCTTGTTTTTACCAAGATATAGCCGACATAGACTACTAAGTATGCCTAGTATTTGTCGGCTAGCCTACTTGGTTGTATAAACTCGACGCCGTGTAGAAGACAGTAGGATATTTCTTTAAAAAAAACCGGTGTTCTTATCTGGGCTCTTCCCCAGACGCTGTTGAAAACGTGTGACCTCTGACCTTGAGTTTTAACATGTCGTGAGTAAGCTACTCAGGTATCTCTCATAGCCTATAGCATCCGCGAGAAAGGATGGCCTTTAACAACACCATTACAATTTTTTAAACTCAGTAGATCCATATCTCGAGTCTAAGCACGTATCAGTCTGTTCAACAGTTAGTCGACGACTGTAGCGTGTCGCCGGTGTTGTAAATAAAAAATGACACACGAGCAGACGAGCAGGCGACGCAGTTCTACAGACAGCCGCACGTGCTTCTCATGTCATTGTTTGTCGTCTGATCAAGTAGTTACACACGCGTAAGAGCTGACTTCTCAGCGGCTCTATGGCGACACTAAACGCACACAATACAAAACACAACAAAGGACCTAGCATCGTGAGAGTATTGCGCTAAACACATACACACGCACATTCAAAATAATAATTTCCACAATAAATTCATAAAAGTAAGCAACTAGGTCTAGACCTATGTATTTTATGATTCCAAATTTAGGCGTAGTCCAAGACTATAAGAATTATTCTCTAACAGAGATGAACGGAGATTCTTTTAGCGAGCAGTTTTTTTTATCGTAAGTCAAATTTGGTGTAAGAAACTCACACACCTTGGAGAAAGTGTGGTGGTGAAGGTGGGGGTGAGGGAGGAGGAGAATTCAGACTATTAAAGCTGCTTTACTTGGGATGGGGGGGGGGGGGGAGTTTCAAGAAAAGGTGCAGAAATTGCTAAAATTGTTATTTTTAAGAGGTAGGGAGTGGAAATATAGGTTTAACCTTTAACTTCGTTTTGTGAAGGAAATACAAAATAATTACCCTAAATTTAAAATAAATGAGGTCAAGGAATAAATTATATATTTCAGCAGAAGTCTGTTATTGTTGATTTCAGCAAAGCTATTGTATGAATATGTTTCTTTTTTTTTTTATTATGTGACACCCCCTCCCCTTCCCCCACCTCTCACCATCTTTAAGAAAACACACAAACTTAATATAATTTGTTTCTTCTAACAAAAAATGCCACATGCATCCATTTTGAATGGATTTCATTAAAAATTAAGATAGTATCAAGTGTACAACTTGATTGTGAGTTTTGTGACATAATGGAATGGAATGTTTTTCAGAGCCATATAAAATATAAATTTACAACCAATGGGCTGGTATTCATTTTCAAAAGAAATCAGCAGGCAAATTGTCTTGCTGTAGTATTTATATAAAAAAAAAACAACAACCATTGTCTTAGTATAACACATTTTGCAGTCACATAAAGTTTACATTTTTGTGTGTACATCATTTGATCTTAGAGTGTTTAAGAACTTTAAATACTTTTGTATTGTTGGGTGTTAAGAGCTCCCAATCATCCACTGTTTAAAAGTAATTTTGAAAAAAGTTTGTATAGAACTCTTTAGCTAGATGCTACTGCACCCTCTAGCAAGGGAAGATTGAAACTGTGTCTACTTTCAGTTTCAGCTTCCCTGGATAATATTGGTAACTTTTCTTGGATTCTCAAAAGTACTCAGTTGCTGGACTTAGGTACCCAGTCATTGTATGCTTAGTCAATGTTTTCATATTGGTACTCTGGTTTCAGAAGTCATTGCTATCACTGTCCTTTGGCACCCATCTAGTAACTTGATGGAGAAGAACTTCACTTAGAGTGGCCTCCCTTAGATTGAATGAATCTGTAGACTGTAACTGTTGTCTCTCATCAAGTGTTACAAGCTGCTCACTACAGAGCTTATGTAGTCAATGTTTTGTATAGCCTTGTAGCTGCATAGTGTGTATGTGTGGGACACTGTCTAGAGTTATGTTTATAATATGTGCTGTGCTCAAGTGATATAAAAGGAAATAATGGTAAGCCTATGATGGTGATAACAATTGTTAATCTACTTATATATCCATAATACTGATATAGGCATAAGTATGTTATTTATAACAACATATCAATAAAAGGATGTTAATACATTTTTAAAACAATTTAAAATGTGTAGTTTATTAGGATCAAAAGAATATCAACTTAATTAAAGCTATCCAGTGCTTCTTTGCATGTGCTTTTAATCAGATGTTTTCAGATGCTAAGCATGCAGCTGAAAAGAGTACATTTTTAGATTTGCTGTTGTTAGTTCATTAGTGACTAGATTTACCATGTCAGTAGTCTGTTTATGTGGCTGTGTACTTGTCACATTTGTGTACACTCTGAGATCTGTTAAAGCATTACTAACTTTAAATTATTCCATGTACATGTCACATTTGTATACACTCAAAGATCCGTTGAAGCATTATTAACTTTAAAACATTCCATGTACATGTCACATTTGTATACACTCAAACAACAATGAAACATTATTAACTTTAAAACATTCCATGTACATGTCACATTTGTGTACACTCTGACATCCATTACTAGGACCTTACTAGAAGTAAATGTAAATCATTATAAAAACATGTTTATTTAATAATTAGAAAATTAACTGTTTTTAGATTAAGGGTAAAAAATATAATTATAATAAGAATAAGTTACTATGTTAAAAACACATATAAAAAGTTTCAATAAATTTACAGTGTATGATGTTTTACATTATACCAAAATCAAAACTCAACATAAATTATTTATCACACATTACAAATGAATGTTTGAAAAATGATACATTATTTTTGTACTTTTAAATAAAATGCAACTTTTGTTTTGTTTGATAGCTTCTTCACTGGACTCAAACCTTAGCCTTGGAAGTCAGACTTCTGCTGCTAATCTCCTGCCATTGCAAGGTTTGATTGAAAGGGAAGCAAAGGCTGATTACAATGGTCTTGATTTCAAATTGATTGTTGACTCAAAAAGTGGTCCTCCAGTGACAATAACCTTGGTGGCCAGCACCCTCCACGAGAAGGCAGCTTGGTGCAGTGACATTAGTCAGGTAACTCAATTGGCAATCAGATAGTGACATTAGTCAGGTAACAGACAATTGGCAATCAGATAGTGACATTAGTCAGGTAACTCAATTGGCAATCAGATAGTGACATTAGTCAGGTAACTCAATTGGCAATCAGATAGTGACATTAGTCAGGTAACTCAATTGGCAATCAGATAGTGACATTAGTCAGGTAACTCAGACAATTGGCAATCAGATAGTGACATTTGTCAGGTAATTCAAACAATTGACAATCATGCACACTTTAATTCTAATTTGGGATTTTTGTAACTTAAAGATATAATCAGAAATCTTGTACAGGTTGGACCCATACACAATCACATGCACATATACATCTGTTTATACATAAATACATATACACACACACATAAAAACACACACATACACACAGAAATATACATGTATAACAAGGTATTTTTTAACTATTCTAGTGTATAGAAAATCTACACTACAGTGATCTGCTCAACAGCTCGATGAGCGAATCATCTTCTGTCACTATGCCCCAGTCTGTCAGGTAGAGTATTATAGATGTTAAAATATATTAATTACAAGTCCTTTTGCAAATATTAGATCATCTTCCCTTTGCACTTTGCCTATTAATGGTAATAGGCTTCTTTGTGGTCTTTAAGTACCAAATTCTATTGTAATTAGAGATCAGATACTGACAAGCATGAAGTTGTATAGCATGCTAGTTTCTATTGAGAATATCCAAAACTTCATGATCTATCAATAAATTCCTGCATATACAGTAATTATAATGATATTATAAGCACATTTTTTGAAAAGGTTAATTTCACTTAGATCCCTGCTTAGATAATTTTAAGCTTTGATTAGCCAATATGAGTTCACTGAATGTTCTTGTAGTTTGAGACAACTGTTGCTTTACAAGTGTTCACCTCACTGCCACATTGTACAACTATTGTCTTATGACTTCTTCATGATGTTGTCAAAATAGAAAATATGATAATATCAGTTCATTTGCATATGTAAAATAACTTTTTAGTAATCAATATAAGGCATAACTATATACATTTTTCAAACAATTATATATTGTGATTTATATATGTTAATTTGAGTTAAATTTTACTACATTGAAAGTCATAGATTTCATAGTTTAAATTGTTGAACAAAATAACCTCTACTTAAATGCAGGTCATTTTATAGCCTTATTGTATGTCAAATGAAAATTAGTGAAATTAACAGAGCTTAATTTATAATAGGTTTTTCTGTATCATGTTAAATAAATAACATTTCGGTTGACATTTAATTGGTTATTTATTGTTGAGAAATGTAGAAATAGTTAGGTAACAAAACAATAAACACTCTATTACACCAGATCACACATTATAGCATTACTGGTTAGTAGAAACCTTTCAAACAATTAATTTTTATCAAACAACAGGGTAACTTATTATCTTTCAGAAGAAAAAAGAACTAGTAGAAATAATGCATTTGAAAAAATTCTGAAAGTAACTGTAACAATAGTAATAGTTTTAGCCTTTTTTGTAATTTATGCACAAGTAATGGTTGTATGCAAACATCAGCCCAAATGTGATAGTGCTTTAGTCACTGGCTAGAAAAGTTAAGTTTCATGCCTTTGTATCACAGATACATACACAGTACACAGATCTGGTAAGTTTTTAAAATCTGCAACTACTAAAGCCATTTTACATATTCAAACTATTCATATTATATATTATTTTGTACCAACAAACAAACCAGATCCTGTGTTGAACTTTAAAAAAATGATGTTTTGAAGAAAAAAAAACACTTTATAGTTTTTTTTCAAGTAAATGTTTTATTTTATTACCAAGCATGTTATCTTTTTAAAGTTTGCTGTATGCAATAAACAATAGCCTTTATGGGGGTCACCTGTAAATGACATCACTGTATATTATATAATTTTCCCCTCTTCCCAATATGTACGTTTAAATTGATCACAAAATGATCACAGCCTCTCACACAGACACATAACAAAAATTGTTAAGAAAATTATCTTGATTTTCATCATTTTATTTGTGAGAAATAAAAAATACTGTCCCAATTCTTAACCTCTTTCCCCTACAGTTCACAAATATTGTAACCATTCACACTAGAAGTTTGATGTCATATATGGATTACCCCTGTCACAGAATGCACATTTTATTCTTAATTTTTTTTTTGGTTTAGATCTTTTAGCTGACAATTTAATGTGGCATTACATTTTAAAGATTATGAGACAACATTCCATCAGAATGAAAACATTTTTGAATCTGATGTATTTTTTATAGAACACATTTAGCTTGATCTGTTTTATGCTACTTACCTGTCATTGTTGACATAGATATGTGGTTATTTTTAACAATTTTATCAAATATACCTGTTTCATGCCCATACTATAAAAAGGAGAAATATTAATTTCTAATCAAAGTTCCTTTATCATGTATTTATCCCATCATGTTTAACTTCACTTCACTAATATTATAAGTAGTCATTTACTAAACATTTTTTTTTTGGAGGATACATTAACATCCTACAATGCTTAGTAAATGCAATAACACCTTAGGCATACAAAATTCTATAATGCACTATAGACAGTATTCCTGTTGGAGCCTACATATAGGCTAACATAACCATGCATAACAATCACACTATTTTTCTTGTTCAAGACTTGCGATCAATAAGCAGTTTCGCTTAGTAACAATAACATGTTTATTAGTCACCATTGTTTATTAAATTGTTTATTATAAAAAGCACACACACATATTTATCTTTATATATTTACATATATATACATATATATTTGTAGATTTCTTAATTTGCAACATAACATCCTTATACTATTTGTTTAGAAGTGGCACTTGACTAGCAAATTGTAAAATTATATCTGTTTAAAAATGTTTAAATAGATTATGAAGGTATAAAGACACACAAACTTTAGTGACACAAAAACATGACTTCTGAGCTTTTTCTACATTTAAATCAATTCACTGAAAAGTTCTCTGTTGCACACCTCCAGCAGTGAATGACTTAATATGAATGCCTGAATGGCTCAGTACTAACCATAGCCAGCACATTTTTCTTGCAACAAGAATAGAAATGATATATTAGAGGTTGCAGCAAGGGACTTTTTTTAGTTCATTACAAAGGCACGCCAGACTCATTCAATAATTGTATGTTGAGCTATTTTCACAGATTTTTAAAGAAATTCATCAATTGATTCAAATAATTTTTTTTCCATACATCTTATTAAGTACAAACTCAACTGATATTTCTATATTTTCTGTAGTTAACTTTTTTTTTCAAATATGTTGGCGTAAATTTATTTACTTTGCCATATTGGTATGCAACTTTGTTGCTTAGATTATTTTAGACTAAAAGTTTGTTACTTTCTGTATTTTTTAATATTTAAGTTTCTAAATTTTGGTTTAGACAAAAATATTGAAATATGTTTTTGTTTTGTGCATTTATGTATGCCTTACTTTACCACCTAGTATATGTTAAGAAAAAATAAAAACTAATTCTAAATGCTTTAATCATTACACTTATTCAATATTAAGCTAATTAATGATCAGTTACAAAAATATTCAGGATCCATGGGATAGATCTACCACTTATTATCAAAAACATGTTGTAAATACTCAATGAAATTTGAAAAAAGTATGTACTTTATGCTGTTCTTGATGTATGGCTGTTTAAAAATTCATCAAATGCTATTGATTCTTTCAACTTAATAAAAAGATGAAAAAGAGCTAAAGATCATCATGGATGTAGCTGCTAAACTATTGTTTAGTTCCTTTTGATACAGTTTTTATTAGTAAAATTTTAATTTTTTCTTTAGAAAAAACGACAAATCTTTATTTTTTTAACAGGTCTGATCCTAAGCTATTCCGTGATGACGTTGATATAAAATTTAGTAGAACTTTGAACTCGTGTAAAGTTCCTCAGGTAAGAAAAGTTTCTTTTTTATTTTGAGAATACTAAAACTCATTGTTTTTTAAACTTCTGTTACTGCAGCATTGCTTGTAATTTTAAAATTGCTGTTTGGAAATAAGTTATTTAGAAGTGTACAAAAAATGTTTCAACACTTCTAGTAAAAATAGTGGGAACTCCTTAGAAAACTCATAAATTTTAAACTACAAAACTTTTTAGTTTTATCTAATTTGTAGGTATGAAATAGATCCATTTATGGTATTGATTTTTACACTATCAAAAAAATAATGTATTTACTAAATATCTAGTTACAATTTTTTTTTACTGTATCACTTTAAATGTTGATAATTATACACAATTTCAGTAAGTTTAAAGGGCAATTTTTTACTTACAGATAAACACAGTTCACTTTTGTTTAATGACATTTGCATTAATTTTCTAAAAAAGATTTTCATAAAATGCTTTTAGAAAAATTCTAAATTCACTAAGATGTAATAGTGTAAAGAGCACATGAATTTTTCCATTGTTGTTTACTAATAGCTCTAATTGTTTTGTTACAGATACGCCATGCCAGTGTGGAAAGGCTTTTGGATCGCCTGACAGATTTGAGGTTTCTCAGCATCGACTTCCTGAACACATTCTTGCTGACTTACAGAGTGTTTACAACTGGCCACACTCTGCTGGAGGCTCTCAAAAAGGTTTACAAAAGTCACGAGGGAGGGCCAAACAATGAAGGGGGAGTAAATCTCACCAACAGCCTATCATCAGTTGTTGCTCAGTGAGTTTCACTACTAGTCAATATGATCAATATTTGTTTAGTATTAATTACACAGATAATTATTTAATTGGTACAATTTTAATCTGCTTTTAAAAAATCTGGTAATTGTACTTTCATTTTACTGTAATAAATCTGTAGTGTAAATCTTGGTTGAACATTTGTTGGTATTTCACCTTGTGTTACAGCTGTCAAGCAGAAGAGGAAGGTACAGAGGAGACCGGCAGCCCACCTGAGTTTACAGGTGAACCTCCAGAAGTTGATGCTAGGTATGTTATAAAGCCCCAAGTGGAGAAGCTACGAAGGATCAGCACAGGCTGCATGAAGCAAGATGATGATGATGTGTCCATTAGCAGTAGCGCCAGCAGTCCTAGGACATCATTTAGTACTGAATCAAGGGGCTCATTTCAACAACAGCATCCCCTCAACTTAGCTCAGAAATGTAGGTTTACACTAGATTCTTACTTCACACTTTCTTACTTATTTAGCTTTTAAATTTTGATTTTTTCTAACATGTACAGCAATATTTTATTAGCCTAAAGTTAAAAAAAATTTTTTAGCAAGAAAATGTGTCACTTGTGCACAGATAATTAATATAGTTGTTTACAGCAATCCTACTAATGACTAGTTTTCTTCCTTAGTGAAAATATCTTAACAAACTAACCAGGCTTTGGATGCTTATCCTTAATTAACTTAGCATGTACCTGAAACATAAATCTTATTCATTTAATAGTAGAACATTTTATAACTTTTTTCAAACTTTTAATGAAAAAAAAAGTTATTTAATGTAGTTTTGCCCTATCCTGTTTTGTACCTAGTATTCCACTAAAATCTTTCTTAAGGGTTTGTGTGAAATTTTTTTCAAAAGATTAGGCTAAAATAGATTTTTTCAAGATATTTCTAAACTATATAACAGATTATTCTCTAGTTAAACAAATAGATTCCAGCAAAAAAGAACCACGTTAAAAAATTTGATCTATGAAGTGTTCCTTCTGAACATTAGCTACTGTGTAGATTGATTTTAAATATCTTACAATTTACACATTGTGTTCTTTAGTTGAACGTGGTGAATCTGTGGACAGTGATGATAGCCGCTCTGAACTCACATCTTTTCTCCAACCACCAAAACCACGAGCTCTGCTTGCTCCAATAGCTTCTTGTGAAACTCTGAATGACCAGGATGTGCCAGACATCCCCTCAATCACCAGACAGGAGTCAGGATCTCCCACAGGTATCATTCTCTCAGACTTTGACCTTGATGATGAGTCTAGCGCAGATTATATAGACACAGCTGACGACAAGCAGCTATTGACTCCTTCCATGGCATCCACATTTGCCGGATCCATATCTTCAGAGTCTCTGGTCTCACCCTCAAGTCCACGGACTATCACCTCTGCTGTCAGCTCTGACACACTCACACCTGGGACTCCAAGAACTCCAATTACTCCTAGAGCCTCGCCATTGGTTTCTCCATTTGGAAGTCCCAAACGGGTTCCAGTTTTAGGTTTAGGACTGAAGGGTAGCAAGATAAATGGAAGCTCCTCGTCTGGAAGTCCAAAGAGGCCGTCAACACCAAGCAGAGTGATGGAGACTTCGTACACACTAGATGCACTAGCTCTATCACCAAGCAGTAGTCCTATTCGAATCATAAAACCCCGCCCAATGTCTTCACCTGTTAGGATTCCATCCCCTCTTCTTCCGGGGACACAAAAACGAGCCTCCTCTCCTGGTCGGATTACATCCTCACCAGCCCGCTCACCTACCTCCAGTCCCAAGCTTCGCCGTGCGCCATCTCCCATCAGCTACAGCTACTCATCTCCTAACATTGTTGCTCCGCAAATCAAGATACGACCATGTGAGTCTTTCCCTTTCACCCTGATGTTGTCTTCTAAAGATCCAGCTTTTAAATGTAGTTGTGTTTTCAAAGGCTGTGTTACAACCACACTGCTGCTATCACTGTAGTTCTCTACTGATTAGGTCTAAATGAAAGAACAGCACTCACTAAATTGGACAATGTGCAACATGTTGATTGTTGAAAAAATGTTGTTTACTATTGTGTGTCTTCACTGGCTCTACATTTCCATCTTAGATTGTTCATCAGTTTGGAAAAATTGTAATCAAACAGTAGAAATAGCCATGGCAATGTGTAGCCTACTCTTTTACTCACACAGATTGCATGCACCCATAGTTATTTCCTTCATTAAGTAAATGATTAACATTTCTTTAGGTATTACAATATTTCATTTTTAATACATTACCAGTGCCTGTTACTTCCTTTGGAGAAAACTATTTTATTTTATTAAGAGAATGAAATTTGAAAATCAGATTACTTATGAAACACTTTCAAATAGTGAAATTCACAAATAAGCTGATGTAATCTATAAATGTGATAAATATACTGTTGTTGTTTTTATGTTGTGTGCTTTAATTCTCACCAGTTTGTTACTTTATCAAGATAATCTCCAAAAATATTAGTCTAAACTTGGTATTTAAACAAAAAGCTGTTCTTTAGACAGAAGAGTTACAAAGGAAAGTCAGTTGAAGCCACCCAGTATTGTGCCATAATTCAAACTTATTGAATACCAAGTGTGTTGTAAGAGGAAAACATCAAGAAACAACACTACTATTTACATAATTCCTGCTCGTATATCATGTACAATACATTTTTACTGCCTAAAAACTGATACAAGTCAGATTAGTTATACAGATTAGTTATAATATCTTTAGTCATGTTCATTTATTAAATAAGGTTTTAACTTTCTATCTCAGTACTTAACAAAATACTGCATTTAAATGTTTTGGATATGTAATATACTATATTTATTTTTAAACTACACTACAATCTTTTGAAAAAAACATAACAAAACACCTTTTCAAAAATTGAAAATAAAATCTTTTTTTGTTGTAGGACAAATGGTCAGACTAAAAAATAATTTATTGTACGCTGTACACAAATTCTCTTGACCTTAAAAACATCTGTTTAAGTGAACTGGAACATGCGCATCCAATCTTCCAGCTGTAACTGGCACTCTTAACACAATTTTTGAAATGATAATTAGAAGTGAGAAAAAAGAACCTTGTTCAATATCTTTTAGTAGGCCGTATTTTATAATTACTTCATCATACCTTGTAATGGCTAACATCTGTTTGCTTTGAAATGAAATTAGATCTTAACCTACGCATTTTAATTTTAGATTCTTTTTACAAATTGTCAGCTTGTTAATCCTCTGTATTCCTAATGTTCATTATAGCCTATATCTAACACAGAATGCTTTTGTTTTCTACAAAACACATTTTTTTTAAAAAAGCAATTAAAATTTCTACTTACTTATAGTTATAAGGTAATTCAACACTTGAAAAATAAAAAAAGTTATAAATTTAAAAAAAAGTAATTCAAAAGTTTTTTATTATTTTTTCTTCCAATGATATATATTTAAGCAAACAAAGTCAATGTTATTTTATGCTGAAATTTAGTTATTACACCTTTAATGTTTGTATATTTACAATTTGCACTTTCTAAATTAATGTTTTCAATTTTGTAACATGAACATGTGTAGTTTTGACACATTAATGTATGAAATACTTTAACACATTAGTAAAGACCTAAAGCTTGGTGTCAACAAATTTCTCTGTAAATCTTAGTCTCAGGTAAGAGAGGCAGTGCTGAGGCAGAGAGCATCAGTATGGTATCTTCACCTCGCAGTAGTTTTGCCCAGATGGATGGGTCCCCTCCAACCAGGGCCAAGGCTGGAACTGTTGTTACATCATCTCGGGCTTCTAAAAGGAGGTAATTTATACTTGCTTTTTTTCTAGAAAACTTCACAATTTGTGCTTTTGTTTGAAAACTTTTAATTTTAATACAGTTTTGACTTAAATTTCTTGCATATTTCCCACTGTCTCTCTTGGTTAGACTTGACTTGAATTCCTAAAAGTTTCCCTTTCAAACCTGATGGTCTATGGGGCAAGGGAAGTAAAGTTCACTTGATTCTGTGACCTCGGCATATGAAGATATAGTGTGGTCAGCACTATGCCCAGCCGCCTTTACTTTCCCTAACGTGAGTTGGGTAGACTCATGGACGGTCTGCTGACTTGAACCCGGATTCGAACTCGAGACTTTCCGGTTAGCAGTCCAGCTCTCTACCGCTAGACCACTCCGTCCCATCACTTGAATTCCTAGCTGACTGTTATTTTTCTGCCATTATTCCCTTACAGATCCAGCTCCTCTGCAGCAACCACTGCATTTGCTGCTGCTACAGCTGGACTGGCCAGTTGTGCTGACCAGCAACAAAAAGGAATCTCTCGATACCTCAGTGTAGGGACAGGTAAGTGCTGGCACCTTTTTATCTGGCTATTTAACTTTAAATTCTTTTCATTAGTTTATCTGTTTTGTTATCAAGCCAATTAGTTAAACTAGAAAAAAAAAGCTGCTATCATAAAAATGATCTAGCAATGAAAAAATATCAGCATTCATTGTTTGCACTGGATGGTTGCTAACACCACTCCTGGCATGGTTGAATAAGTCACACATTTGGATATGTGTCCTCTTCATGATATGCTGTGTCTTTGACACCCCGTAGTCCTCCAATGCAAACTACTGAACACCCTATTGGCTAACAGGTACATTAGATGCACGCCCGGTCATGAAAAAAAGAGAGTCAGTCATCAGTACCGCTGCCACTATGCGTGTTCTAAATGTCCTCAAACACTGGGTCTCTAAGCACCAGCAGGTAAGCTAGCAGGTGGAAACCTCTCCTGGAATGTACTCACTGTTGTATCTATGGCAGCTCACCACTATTCTCCTGGAATGTACTCTTTGTTGTCTTTCTATCTGGCAGCTGACTTGTAGCACTATAGCCGTACAATTATCTATTCATATTGTTTCACTTAGTATGATGTTTAGTTTAATAGTAGTAGAAATATTTAACAATGATTAACAAAGTTCTGACTAAATATCTTGAGCACTAGTATTTGCATAATGTAGCTGTAATCTAGAGAGTAGTTGTTGTGAGACTGTTTTAACGTTTGTTTGATCATATCTATCCAAGTGTTTGGGATCTTGCATACTTTTGTTTGAAACATATACTTACCAATCTGTAAAATAAAATTAAAAATAAATTCAACTAATGGTCTATTAATTTAAAATTACTAATATTGTTTGAATCACTTAACATATCATGGTAAGAAAGTATGCAACTTTTCAGAACATTTACTTAACTATTGAGCAGTTTTATGAATATTTTTTCAGCAAATATGTTTAAATGTGATGTGCACCAGAATATATAAAGCTAGTATTGAAATAATATATGCAATGTATTTTAATAGAAATTATTTAATTAGCTGTTTATTGTTTTCTAGAAAACAAAATGTTTAAAATATCAAGGCATGATTTTTTAAAAGTAATAGCTATTTTCAGAATTATCAGATTATCATTTATGCCATTAATGTCAAACAATAATCATTGAGTCAGTCCAAAATATGCACATTTTAGATTTTTAGACTTCATAATTAAAAATTGAAATGTTATTTTCTACCTCTGATGTAGAAATACTAACATTATCATCACTTTACTACAAGTTAAAACAGGTGTAGCCTAAATAGAGTAGCTGTAAAAATTTTAGGATGAAAAAATACCTCTTCTTAAGTTTTTCATCCAAGTAAATAAATAAGTTTTAGAATAAATAAGACTAAAGTTGGCCTGATGATAGTGAATCTTAAACTGTATGCAAACATTCTACCATCCATCAGTGTTTGACAAACCTACTAATTCTCTTTCCTGTATTACAAAATAAACCTGTGCATGAAACACAGCCAACTGTCTGTTGTAAAAACATCTCCCATAGAATGGCATTAAGCCATTGTACAGTAGATATTGTCAGTCCCAACCTGCCAGCATGGTGCCACTGTTGTATTGATATCATTGCTTAATGTTGCGTTGTGTGTTCCTGCAGGTCACCCCCATCTTAGTATTGGCTCTGTTCACACTATGAGAGTCATTAAAATATTGAAAAACTGGATTTTTAGTAATTATGAGGTAACAGATTTTAAAAACATCCTTCACTGATTTTATCTTATTAACACTTCTATTTTAATACCTTTATTTCTTATGTTAAATATTTTTGTCATTTTAAAAGGATGCCTCAATATTTAAAAATAGCAATGAAAAAGATTTGTCTCAGTTGAACTTATGCTTAATGTAAAACTGAAGACCTAAATTTGTTGTAGTATTCCTTTTGTTTACATTATACATAGATTTGTGTTGATGGTCCTTGTTGTTGGTCGCACCTTTATTCTAGATTTTAAAATTTATTGATATATTATTATCAATATTGTTAACTAGTATTGTTTTTTTTTAAAAGTATGATTGTACAGTATCAGTGTTGGACATATATTTAATAAACTATGGTGTAGCTTGTATGTAAAATTTAGATTTTTCTCACAAATTTTTAAATACAAGTTTAATTGAAATAAAAGCAAAATAAATCAAGCAATGCTTACATCAGACTTATATAAATAGTGCATTGGTGACAAAAGAGTAAAAGGATCAAATGGATAAACTAATGCACATTAATCTTTTTTTCTTCATTGTCTACTGTAGCCAGCTTCATAGTTTTAAAATTATTTATAAAAAAGAATTGTATAATTTTTATGTCAACTTCATTAGCTTTAAATAAACATCAGCAAGATATGATTCCATGTCCATTTAAAAAGTAATGCTCTCTATAAAACACACAGGACTTTGAATCAGACCCTGAACTGAAGTCTCAAGTTGTTGATTTGTTGGAGGAAATGGTTGTCAATAGCAACCTCTTGCCTGCCGAACACAAAGCTGCTGCTTCAATACTCCGCACTATAAGTAAAGAACCATCTCCTGAGAAAAGGGTGGACCTAACACAGTTACTCATGCCTCCATCAGTATGTTGCACTCTTTCACTTTACCTTGAATTTAACTTGGCCTACTTAACTCAGATCTAAACATTATTATTCATTGTTTAATTTCTTTTTAATAATAATTGTTGCCCGATTTAAAATTTGATACAAACATTTTTTTAAAAAAGTGTGTTTTTTGGTATGGAACGCAAGAGTAAACATTGTATATTGATTCAAATGTGTCAAGTTTTAAAGTAAATGCTCACCACATTTTTTTTCCTAGTCAACATCGAAAGATAACCTGGATACACTCTCAGCTTTAGACATTGCTGAACAGTTGACATACTTAGATCATCAAATATTTATTGCTATTAGAAGCGAGTAAGTAAAAGAGTTGTATTTTTTACACCATAAGCTGACTGCTACATTATGCATACAGTTTATATTTAGTCTACATTTTCAAACTATTTTTTATGCCAGGGAGTTGTTAAGTCAAGCTTGGATGAAACCTGATAAATGCCACAAAGCTCAACATGTTCTCCTAGTCAGCAAAAGATTCAATGAAGTATGTTTCTATTTCCTTCATTGCAGTAACCATGGCACACTTTTAATATTGATACTGTGATTCTTTGATTTGTATTTCAACTATTTTAAACCAAGACATGAAATAAAGTAAAAACTTCTCTCTTTGATTTTGTAGGTGAGTCGTCTGGTTGTGTCTGAGATAGTCAGCAGGTCCAACATGCAAGATCGTGTTGCATGTATTGAGAAATGGGCAGCCATTGCTGATATCTGCCGCTGTATGCACAATTACAATGGAGTTCTGCAGATTTGTGCAGCTTTTGTAAATAGCTCAGTTTACAGGCTCAAGAAAACGTGGGAGAAACTATCTAAACAGGTGGGTTAGGGTCAGGTTTTATAACTGTGCACTCTGTTTTGGTTATCCTTCATGGGTTCTCTTAGAGTATCTTGTGGGTAGAATCCAGGCATACATTTTTATAGAGAAAAACATAACTATTAAAGATATTATTAGAAAATAACCTCACACACATCATATTTACATGTGGTTAGTTACTGTTCTTGAAAAACCAAAAAAGTTCATGAACAGCTAAACTTAAAGTTAAAACTATCAGTATATCCTTGATGTAACAGTATTTTAGCAGTCTCATCCAGAAGGTTAAAAGTTCATGTAATTAATTAAGCTAATTTTTTTTTCTTGGGTGACAAACCTAAAGAAACTTGAAAGAGGCCCACAGCTCGAAACACATAAGTCTATATCACTCAAAACATATAGGGCCCTATTTAAGATTAATGTAATTCATTTTTATGCTGATATAGAATGGTTACATAACTAAGGCCAGTGTTCTAGTTTGATAGCTCCCATGTTGTATAGTGAAGGTTAACAACAGTCTGAATCCATTAGTTTAGTATTAAAGTATAGGTTTTACCACTGGTACAAGTTGCTGGATACATGAGAGTTTTTTCAGCACCTTCTAAATATTGATGTAACAACAAAAATTGGTCTTTGTTTACCATGTAGAAAAAGTTCCTATATATATTTATCCATGTAGACTAAACAGATGATAGACAGACTTCAGAATTTAGTGTCATCTGAAGGCCGGTTTAAAAACATGAGAGATGCTTTACACAGGTATGCTTTACAGTTTTCAAGTTATTGTTTTGTCTCTCATGTAGCTGGGATACTTTCTCAGAATGTGTCTGTCATAAAATGACCTGGTTGTTTTGTATGCTTTCATTTATTCCCTATTTAAGTTTCTGTATGTATTTTTCTGATAAGGATTATCAACTGTTTGTCTTTCTGTTTAGATGTGATCCGCCATGCATTCCTTATCTTGGCATGTATCTAACTGATCTCTCATTCATCGAAGAAGGGACACCTAATGTTACAGAAGAGGGACTTGTTAATTTTTCTAAAATGAGAATGGTAAGGCCATATAACCATTCATAACTGAAACATATAAAATAAATATAAAAGAATTTTTAAAAAATTAATACTAAACAATAAATGTTTTAATCTCTTAGTTTTATTATATACTAGTGTACAGTAGTATATTATTGTGGTTTCAGTAGTAGGGTTAGTTTGAGAATCAAGGTTAGGGTTTTGGACTAGAGTAAGTGCATCGTTTACTAGCCAAATACAACCTTAAATATGTCGTGCTGAGTTTTTTTAAAAAAATACTAAATTTTATTGATTTTAAATCGATCATGCTTTGTTATATAATAAATTGTGACTTTAATTGAATGAAATTATTGAACTATATAAATCTTTTGCATTTAGATTGCTCATGTGATCAGAGAAATTCGTTTATTTCAACAAACATCCTACAAGATTGAACATCATCCACGGGTAAGAATTTATAAATAGCATTGATTATTCTTTGCAGTGAAGAATAAAATTAAAATAATGAGATCAAATTTGGCACATCTAAGGTAAAACAGGCATTTACAAAGCTGTAACAAGAGTTTAGCATTTTAGCCACTTTTACAACCAGTTCATTAAAGCTGTGTAAGATAAGCAGTTAAACAATGGTCAGTTACTTAACCATAGTTTTTCTTATTCTCTCCACTGACATGTTGTTAGATATGATCCTCACCTTGGTGTCAAGCCCCATGCCATCAACATTTAACTTTGAACAAATTCAGCAATTTTTCAAGTTATGTTGTCCTCACCCAACTTAATTGCATTACCACCTCCCCACCTTATAATACTAGTCAGCATTGTGTGTTTGGCTAATAAGATCAAGTGTGGGTTTTATTTGAAAAATAGTTTCATTCTAGAATAAGTAAAGTTTGATTATGTGTGAAAGAAAAATACATGACCTGTATCATTAAGTTACTAATGCTGGATGTAAATTGTTTAATTGAATGCAGGTAACCAGCTATTTGCTTGATCCAAGTCGGCTGTTAGATGAGGATCAAACATACAAAGCATCTTTGGAGATTGAACCTAAACAGTCTCGTTTGTCAGTGATCTCCACACCTTCCTGAGAAAAGCTCAAGTCTTCTCTTTTTCCCTCTCAATGTTTTTCTGACATGACTCACTCTACGCTTGCCACATGCCATGGCATAGCTTTGTGATACATTTTGTTGGTGATGTTTCCAATGATCCAAGTGGTGATATCTTCATTCAGCGCTGGTCGCAGTTCAAGTGTATTCCATCAACTTTTCAAACTATGTTTACAATGTATATCATTTGATTTTACATTACACAAAGTAACACACTTGTCCTATGTCAAGTCATACAAAATTTCTTTAGAAAAGGAAAATTGTGCAAGTGTTAAATTATGTATACATTTTTGGTTTAAAAGAAGAATTGTAATAATTAAATTAATAAAACATAAGGCACACCATAATCTGTTAAATTTACCGTACTCGATAATTTCTTTTTATATTAATTATGTACAATTGTTTTTTTCTGTACCCCAGTTTAATTTTCCATGAAACCCCCACCCCTCTCTGTCATCCTATCATGATTAATTGGCTTCCTGTTTCAAAATATTATCCATTTTACTTGAAGTATTTTTGGATTAATTTAAGTTTCAATAGCAAAAAAGGTGGAAATCTCTAAATGAAAAACATTGGATAATAGTTATTATGTTAACTAAAAATGTTAAAGATTTAGTCTGTTAAGAGGCAAAAATATTGGTCCGAATTTGCATTTTGAGCATAATCAGGGTCTGAGAGTTTTAAAGAACTGTACAGGTGCATTAAAACTTGGATTTAAGATTTCTGTTGTGACAAAAATATTGTGAGGATATAGTTTTTATAGGTGATATATTATTGATGGCTATTTTATGGTTGATGGTTTCTGCCTCTTAGCTGTTGATTTAACAGTTTTTAGCACTTATGAGTTGTAAACCATTTTGTTCTACACATGTAAATATTTCAAACATTTCGCTGTGTGTGAAATCATTCTAGAAACAATAGTTGAATCCCCCCTTGACCCAGGGACCATTACCTCATGAGTACTTCACCATTCCAACAGTTTTTTGTTTCAGCTGGGAAGGTTCTTGGTTTTCTTTGTTGTCAAATGTTTCAAACACGACTCAGACTTGTTCATACAATCATGTGTCATTCTCAGTGTTGTAGACTTATTTTTTGCTCCGACATTCACCTATGTAGGTGAGTTGATTCCTAGAGATATTTGTTAGACTCAAGCCAACATAGACTTAAAAGGCAGCATCTCAACTAGACTAAAAATTGTCAAGTCTATTGACAGGTTTACAAATTAATTTGCAGATGATATTTTCAAAACTCAGCACTCAAAATATTAAATTTTGCTGTTATGAAACATTTTGCCAAATAAGATTTAAATGATGATACACATATAGGCCTACATGTGAAAAAAAAAGCACATTGTAAACATGAATAAATTTGGGAAATTAATCATTTTTTTTTATTAATTCAAAGTTATGAGATAAATTTATAGGCCCTACATTGTTTAAAGCTTCTAAGCTAATTTTTATTTTCATTTTCTCTAATCATTCTCATTCTCTAAGAGATATTTAAACACTTGTTTTTTTCCTACTTTCTCATAGCAATCAATTCCATTAAACAGAGTATTTAAATGTTTGATACCATCATATTTAAACACAGCAGTGATCAAAGAGTTAAAACATTGATTAAACTTAAAGGGTTACTCAACAGAGGGAACAATATTAAAAAAAACCCTCTTGTATACTCATTTTGAACTTACTTCTCTAAATACACACAAAACTCATCTTTTTTAAATTTATACATTACATTAAAATTTACAGTTGATTCTCCTTTTTTTTTATATTATGTTCCTGTTTTTTTAATTTATAATTGTATAAGGTTGTAATTCCCTAAAATCTATAACAATAAATACATTGTTTTTTTTAAATTTATTGGTAATGCTCAAAATATCAACATTATATATTATACACGTTATACACAGTTCTGCTAATCTAAGATTTTGTATTGTGAGGTTTTAACTACTAACTCATTGCTTTGGTAAAGTTAAATTTGTTTACTGACCATTTTGAAAGAGTTCTAAAATAATTTCTGTTGAGATGTTTAGTTTTTCTTTCTCCTGAAACAGAGCCGTCTCTCTGCATTTAATTATACACTAATTTATACAATATAATACAATTGTGTACAATAAAGGGCCATGTGAAGTCATGTAATTAAATGTGCATAATGCTCACAATATATTTATTCTCATTTATAATATCTATCATGAAAAGTAAAATGCTTTTGTAGTGGAAGATAGATCAACCCTACTAAGTCTATTTCATGATATCCATGACACTTAGTGTTTTACATTCTTTGTCTGAATTCAATTTACTGTTTTTAAAAAAAATATTTTTCATATATTTATTTTTTTAGAAATATTGCATTTCCATTTTTGCATACCTAGTTATGTTATAGAATGATAATTTTTGAGTGTTGTTATGTGTAGTTATTCTGCTACTGAAGATATTACTGTGTGAATTACCTGCTCTTGTTGTTTGCTATATGATAAATATGTAAATAGTGTCTCCATCCCTATTAGTTGTCACTTTGATAAAATTTGAGCATTGGAAATTATGTGTTGATTTGATTCAAAGTATGAGTTTGAAATGCAAAATATTCAGTTGTGAATATTAAATGCAAAATATATTATTTTAAAAAATTGCATTTGCAATTAAATTTTTGAGATAATTTTCCTAAGCATATGTGAATTGACTCTGGTTGTTAGCACCGTCAGATCTATGCTCTCATGACATGAATTTTTATTGGATACAAAGTTCACATTTTTTTTTTGCACTTTTGAAACATGGTTTTGTCATACTATATTCATAATTTTATAAAACGATATGATATTCATTCCCCATACATTTCTGCCATAAGAATATTCACCGAACTTAAAGAAATATTTCATGCTGAAAAATGACCAAGAATTTATTGTCCATGTTTCCATTAGTTGTAAGATAAAGCAACTGAAAGAGGTGAGGCTATTGTTGAGATGTATATCACAAAATGGTGAGACCAGTGTTATCTAATGTTGTATAGTGTTGTCCGAAAGGCTTTACACTATTCTTCTTTTCATTACCCCTATACATGATTGAAAGAAAAAAAATGTTACAAATGTATTTTGATTTTTAAAATTGTTTGTCGTCTCAAAAAAAAAAAAACAACTGTTGCAAATATATCATGATTTAAAACTGTTGTCTGAAAGAAAAGTCACTTACAAATTAACTATGAATTTTTAAAAAATGTGGTTAGTTCGAAAGAAAAACAAAATTGTTACACAATTATCTTAATTTTAAAAACTGTTTGTCGTCTGAAAGAACAAAACTGTTACAAATATATCATGATTTTAAAACTGTTTGTCAAGACCTTGAGTTTTGTTATCACTGCTATGTGCTTGTTGTGTTGTCCTGTTATTACTGCCATGTGCTTGTTGTATTGTCCTGTTATCACTGCCATGTGCTTGTTGTGTTGTCCTGTTATCACTGCCATGTGCTTGTTGTGTTGTCCTGTTATCACTGCCATGTGCTTGTTGTGTTGTCCTGTTATCACTGCCATGTGCTTGTTGTGTTGTCCTGTTATCACTGCCATGTGCTTGTTGTGTTGTCCTGTTATCACTGCCATGTGCTTGTTGTGTTGTCCTGTTATCACTGCCATGTGCTTGTTGTGTTGTCCTCTTATCATTTCTATGTGCTTGTTGTGTTGTCCTGTTATCACTGCCATGTGCTTGTTGTGTTGTCCTGTTATCACTGCCATGTGCTTGTTGTGTTGTCCTGTTATCACTGCCATGTGCTTGTTGTGTTGTCCTGTTATCACTGCCATGTGCTTGTTGTGTTGTCCTGTTATCACTGCCATGTGCTTGTTGTGTTGTCCTGTTATCACTGCCATGTGCTTGTTGTGTTGTCCTCTTATCATTTCTATGTGCTTGTTGTGTTGTCCTGTTATCACTGCCATGTGCTTGTTGTGTTGTCCTGTTATCACTGCCATGTGCTTGTTGTGTTGTCCTGTTATCACTGCCATGTGCTTGTTGTGTTGTCCTGTTATCACTGCCATGTGCTTGTTGTGTTGTCCTGTTATCACTGCCATGTGCTTGTTGTGTTGTCCTGTTATCACTGCCATGTGCTTGTTGTGTTGTCCTGTTATTACTGCCATGTGCTTGTTGTGTTGTCCTGTTATCACTGCCATGTGCTTGTTGTGTTGTCCTGTTATCACTGCCATGTGCTTGTTGTGTTGTCCTGTTATCACTGCCATGTGCTTGTTGTGTTGTCCATAGAAAGATAAAGAATCAGGCAGGACTCAAGCCTCTTGTAAAAGTGAACATCAGTCAGGGCTTGCTTTTAATTAGCCAGCTCTTGTGCTTCCAAGATGAAACCACAAACATCTATTCAACTTTCTAGATTGTATTAATAAAATGAAACCTAGCCCAAATCACTAAACTTTACATATGGTACATTGCCCTAATCTAACAGACTCATTTAGGTATACATAATACATAGACTTTAAAAGGTTTAGTTCCCTATGTGCTAATCTTTACACAGCAATAGCTGCATTGAAAGTTAATACTTTTTTAACAACAAAACTAACAAGAAATGTGGACCAATCAAGGCTTTCAACTTCAATCATAAGTGTACAGGCACTAATTGGCTACTGAAAAGAAAATCTAATTATGAGTAAAATGGTGCACTAATGTCAAATTCACAGTTGTTGATGTTTTGCCCATGTACAGCCTTGCCATCATACATTTCTAACATGTCTTATCTGAAGTATTGTCAACCATAATATGTTATAACATAAAGAAATATTTCTGATGAACAGAATCAAAGGCAGGGACAACACAAAGAAAGATAACTTAGCTGGTAACACCATGTTGTCAAATAAACAAATTTAATGAGAAAAAAAGTGATTTACTCATTTCAGCTACTAAAAGCTGATATAAGGTAAACTGTTTCAGCCAACCCACATTGACAACACCCTATGGAGAAGATTGATTGCAAGACTGGATGACACTATACCCATTATATTAAAATTAGCTATTTCAAGCTTCAGTATATGTTTGTGTGGTATGGGGGATGACTCCAAATTTAAATATTGTATAGGGGTATACTTACACACATAGATACAAACCAACTGGTAATGGCACTTTAGACCATACCGCCTCAGTCCAGCCTAAAATTAATGTCAGGAAAGCCTTCATTATTTATGTTCAATACTTTGAAAGAGAACATTTACGTTTACACGTACTGCACATGTTACTCTGAATTGTAGAGAGAAATTTCAAAATAATTTCTTACAATAGTATTGTTTTCAAGATGTAGTAATAATATCAAAGGGAAGCAATTACGCATTAACTCACAAGCTCTAGATTTAATGAGTTATAGCCCTTACAACATGCGGCGAATTTTACAAAGAAGTAAAATGAAGTTAGTTCCATTTAAATTCAATCCTTTATTGTATATTAATACTAGGCATACTGCCTAGCTTCGCTTAGGTTTTCAAAAACATTAGATAATTTGAATACTAATTATTTATTGATGGATGAGGTGTGGAGTGCTTACATTTTAAACAGTAATGCTAATTTTAGAGAAGATGTTGTTGTATGTTGTTTACGATTTGTTTTCAGAGAAAGTAACTGAAAGTACGCAATGTATGACTAAAATGGAATTAGAACTACAGAGGTTCCATGAACAGTATATCTCATAATTTATATTACGTTGACTTTTAAAATTAATTTTTTTATTTAATTATGATACTTAGCTGAATTAACAACTTAAATTTTTACTAAAACAAATGCTATACTTTGTCATTTTCTGTTTCTGTTTAAAATAGTATACAATTATTTGAAAAAAAATTATTTAAAAAGGTTACCTCCCTTGAAAATGTCCTTGTTTACTTTTATTTAAAACAAACAGTTGCTATGCTTATATTAGAAAATACAATATATGAACATATTTAACGACTACAATGGCTTTTCCCGACGGGAATAACGTTTTTTTTGTTACCCTCCAGGGTCGGTCTACGACCTCAAATAATCTTAAGGGGATCGTTCGTCAATTTATTTATATATATCTCAAATAAGGAGAATGTCACTCGCGGTCATCTTTTAGCCCTGGTCGAGGGCTTTGAGTCTGACCAACAGTTTTTCCATACGGCCTAGTCATCAATAAAAGTGTATGCAAAACATTAGCATGATATACAGAGGTTAAGTGACCTAAAAATTGTGTTGAAATTACCCTGTTTTTCCCGTAAAATACAAAGATTATATAGGGAAATACGACTGGTCAGTTTTGACCGCTTTACGAAGTTTTCCCAGATATGCCGAGTTTTTTGTGACACCCCTAGGTGTTCTTCTACCACCTCACAAAATATCAAGGGGGGTCGTCGGAGGAAATTTTTTTTCGTAATAGAGCTCATATAAAGAGAATTTCACTCGCGGTCACTTTTTAGCCCTCGTCGAGGGCTTTGAGTGTAACCGACAGTTTTCCCTAAAGGTCAAGCCATTGACCTAGGAGCATGCAAAACAATTAGCCAGATATACTGAGCTTAAGTACCCTAATGTCTGCGTTGAAATGACCCTCTGTTTTTCCCATAAAATACAAAGATTATATAGGGAAATACAACTGGTCAGTTTTGACCGCTTTACGAAGTTTTCCCAGATATGCCGAGTTTTTTGTGACACCCCTAGGTGTTCTTCTACCACCTCACAAAATATCAAGGGGGGTCGTCGGAGGAAATTTTTTTTCGTAATAGAGCTCATATAAAGAGAATTTCACTCGCGGTCACTTTTTAGCCCTCGTCGAGGGCTTTGAGTGTAACCGACAGTTTTCCATAAAGGTCAAGCCATTGACCTAGGAGCATGCAAAAAATTAGCCAGATATAATGAGCTTAAGTACCCTAAAGTCTGCGTTGAAATGACCCTCTGTTTTTCCCATAAAATACAAAGATTATATAGGGAAATAAAACTGGTCAGTTTTGACCGCTTTTCGAAGTTTTCCCAGATATGCCGAGTTTTTTGTGACACCCCTAGGTGTTCTTCTACCACCTCACAAAATATCAAGGGGGGTCGTCGGAGGAAATTTTTTTTCGTAATAGAGCTCATATAAAGAGAATTTCACTCGCGGTCACTTTTTAGCCCTCGTCGAGGGCTTTGAGTGTAACCGACAGTTTTCCCTAAAGGTCAAGCCATTGACCTAGGAGCATGCAAAACAATTAGCCAGATATACTGAGCTTAAGTACCCTAACGTCTGCGTTGAAATGACCCTCTGTTTTTCCCATAAAATACAAAGATCATATAGGGAAATACAACTGGTCAGTTTTGACCGCTTTACGAAGTTTTCCCAGATATGCCGAGTTTTTTGTGACACCCCTAGGTGTTCTTCTACCACCTCACAAAATATCAAGGGGGGTCGTCGGAGGAAATTTTTTTTCGTAATAGAGCTCATATAAAGAGAATTTCACTCGCGGTCACTTTTTAGCCCTCGTCGAGGGCTTTGAGTGTAACCGACAATTTTCCCTAAAGGTCAAGCCATTGACCTAGGAGCATGCAAAAAATTAGCCAGATATACTGAGATTAAGTACCCTAAAGTCTGCGTTGAAATGACCCTCTGTTTTTCCCATAAAATACAAAGATTATATAGGGAAATACAACTGGTCAGTTTTGACCCCTTTACGAAGTTTTCCCAGATATGCCGAGTTTTTTGTGACACCCTAAGGCGTTCTCCTACCACCTCACAAAATATCAAGGGGGGTCGTCGGAGGAAATTTTTTTTCGTAATAGAGCTCATATAAAGAGAATTTCACTCGCGGTCACTTTTTAGCCCTCGTCGAGGGCTTTGAGTGAGACCGACAGGTCTGCCCTACGGTCAAGCCATTTACCTATAAACATGCCAAAAATTAGCCAGATGTAAACAGGGTAAGTGCCCTAAAATCCGTTTTGAAATGACCCTCTGTTTTTCCCATAAAATACAAAGATTATATAGGGAAATACGACTGGTCAGTTTTGACCCATTTCCCGATTTTTCCCGGACATGGCGAGTTTTTTGTGACACCCCAAGGTGTTCTCCTACCACCTCACAAAATTTCAAGGGGGGTCGTCGGAGGAAATTTTTTTTCGTAATAGAGCTCATATAAAGAGAATTTCACTCGCGGTCACTTTTTAGCCCTCGTCGAGGGCTTTGAGTAAGACCGACAGGTCAGCCCTACGGTCAAGCCATTTACCTATAAACATGTCAAAAATTAGCCAGATGTAAACAGGGTAAGTGCCCTAAAATCCGTTTTGAAATGACCCTCTGTTTTTCCCATAAAATACAAAGATTATATAGGGAAATACGACTGGTCAGTTTTGACCCATTTCCCGATTTTTCCCGGACATGGCGAGTTTTTTGTGACACCCCAAGGTGTTCTCCTACCACCTCACAAAATTTCAAGGGGGGTCGTCGGAGGAAATTTTTTTTCGTAATATAGCCCATATAAGGCGCCGGTCAGTCGAGGTCAGTTTTGACCCCTTCTCCGTAGACTTTTCGGCCAACCGTCACCGGCCTTCGTGTTCTATTGCCCGAAGGCACCATCGTGCCAAATTTGACGCGCCTGCGGCGCCGGGAAGTGCCCTATCGGGCACTTGACCACTTTGCTTTATATATATAGATTTAGGATATATTTTGTAAAAAAAAAACCATCCAGAATCCATCGTATAGCAAATATTTATCCCGTGCCTCTACTTAAGACGTTTAATCAAGTTTTAACGTAATTAAAAATGTATTAGTCTATTAGCTACTTAATAGAAACGCGAGGTGTGTAGTTATTGTTCCATCTCAACGTACATACTCATGGTGAACTCATGTCATAACATTGGATTGTATGTTTTTAATGCGTAATTAAAAACATAGTCTACCATCGGAACGAAACAAATAATAGAAATTTCTATTTCAGACAGTTAACTAAACTATCGTTACACAATTTTAGTAAAACTCTTTTGAGATGTTTTTCCGGCTTTATTCCATTTTTATACAACTCAGAGAAATTTTATTTTATACAGTATGTCCAACTTCTTCACATATAACATCTCATATATACCGTATCATAACACTTTCAATTATCACACACTGCCTTCATATTATATATTACTATATAACATGGAATATGTGCACAGCATATCACATCTAGCTTGCCACCACATCACCATACCTAGCTTCAGACAACAACATCACACATCAAACCAATCATCATACAACACATCACCATACCTGGCTTCACGCTACAACATCACACATCAAACCAATCATCATACAACACATCACCATACCTGGCTTCACGCTACATCACTCAAACCAATCATCATACACCACATCACAACATCACATCCACCATCAGACAACCGGCAACAATTCGTGATAGTTTCACCCGATTCACTATAAACACAATAGCACACACAGCCACACTCACACACCCACACACACACAACATCTACACAACCACATACACTAGACCACCATTCTCATACCGTGTGTATCACCATTTAAAATCCTACCCATCCTAACATTATTTCATCAACAACATGATTTTCTAGCAAAATGGTCATTCTTACATCATGAGCTATACCATCAATATCATCTTCATTATTTAATCATCATTATCCTAACCTAACTCAAACAATACCATCATCAAAATATTTTAATTAACCCGCCTACTCTCTCATTAACCACATTAAGCTTAATAATTTAATCCACCCCGTCTTTACAAATTTTATAGCAATAACAAATTATAAATTTTTAAAAAGTTAATTAAAAGATTTTTAATTAAAGAAAACTGAAACATGATTATACTGTAGCAGATTTTAAAATAGCAAACGCGTCGCTTCATGTATGTACACAATGATGTCTTGCTGTACCATAGAATCATTTACAAAAATAACTTATGCCCATAATTTATTTAGTGCCAACATAAATGCTCATAAATCACTTTGTGTCAAGATATGCTTATAAATCATTTAGTGACAGCATATACACATAAATCATTTAACGAAAACATGACCATAAATCATTTAGTAAAAATATGGACCCATAATTGATTTACAAGACAATATATACCAATATTTAATTAGTAATAATATATGCCATACATCATGTAGTGACAATATATGCCCATACATTATTTAAATTGACGTTGACAAAATATGTGCATGAATCATTTACATAACAATACAGGCCAATATGGAAAGCGAGAATTGAAAACTGCACTAGCAGCATCACCAAAAAAAAAAACAATACGTCACGAACAAAGATTGAGTTCAACGAAGACACGCAGCCCAACCCACCAAAAACATACAATCAATCATTTTTTTCTTAGACAATACAAGACGTCCGCTATTTCCTCTTAAAATAATAATTGATTCAAACTTTTACTGGGTATAGCCCTTTGGATATGTTCCTCTCCATATAATTATTAGCAGCATAATGACTATAAAAATAGTCTGGTAATCAACCGTATTTAAGCTTTCAGTAAAAACGTAGTCTGTAGGAGCAAGGGAGATCATTCGCGGCGTAATTTGACAGCTATTTTAAGCAGTTTTATTTTTTCCTACCTAATTGTTTTTCTGCTTGAATCAAAACCATCCTTTCATTATTTTAATTTCAATTGTTTGTTAGTTAATGAGACATAGTTTTTATCAGGGGGTAGTGAGCCTCACTTTGAGGGGTCAACGTTCCCAGTAAAACACACTCAGTTTGGGCCAAGATCTCAGTGTAGGTCCAGTGTATCTGTCGTTACGTCTATTTATTCCATGACTCTAAATTCAGTATTTAAATGTGACTCACTGATTTACTGAAGGTCCAGTGACTCACCCTGAAAGTCCAGTGACTCATTTGACAGGTCCAGTGACTCACTTAATCCAGTGACTCACTTGATCCCGAGATTCAACCTGAAGGTCGAGTGACTCTCAGCAGATCTTGTGACTCTCTATGCGGGTTCAGTGACTCCCCGTGTAGGTCCAGAGACTCACTCATCAGGTCTAGTGACTCCCCGTGGATGTCCAATTACTCACCCGGAAGGTCCAGTGACTCACCAAGTGACTCATTCAGCAGGTCCAGTGACTCGCCCAGCGACTCGCCCTACACGTTCAGTTACTCATCCAGTGACTCACCCTACATGTTCAGTGATTCACTCAGCAGTCCCGCCTACCCTGATAAAGTTATTGAGGTTAGCCCTGTCCTCCCCCCCCCTCACTCAGCCGTCCCGCCGACCCTGATAAAGTTGTTGAGGTTCGCCCTGTCCTCCCTCAGCACCCAGTTGCCCGTGTTGGACCGCTCAAGCTGCACGGCCGAGCCGAGCGGCGAGTAGTTGACTTTATCCGGGCTGAACACGTCCAGCCGGTCCTGCCGGTCTAGCCGGTCCTGCCGGCCCACGGAGCTTAGCGAACACCGGCTGGTGCTGACCTTGACATCTGCCGAGGGTGAGACGAAGGAGTACCGGCACCCCTGGGCCACGGGGGTGGAGGCGGTGTCCACGTGACCAGCTGACCTCATCAGCCGGTCGTTCCTAGAGGAGGTCGACGACTCGGAGTTCCGCTTGAGTGGGAAGAGCAGAGACCGCCGCAGTCCGTAGCTGTCCTGTTCTAGGCGCCGCTTCTTCCAGACCCCTCGTAGACAGTAGCAGCAGCGGATCAGCTCCCTCTTGAACTTGATGGTAAACATGCCTGAAACAGAGAACTTGATGGTAAACATGCCTGAAACAGAGAACTTGATGGTAAACATGCCTGAAACAGAGAACTTGATGGTAAACATGCCTGAAACAGAGAACTTGATGGTAAACATGCCTGAAACAGAGAACTTGATGGTAAACATGCCTGAAACAGAGAACTTGATGGTAAACATGCGTGAAATAAGATGCAATAATTATATATATATATATGTATATATATATATATATATATATATATATATATATATATATATATATATATATATATATATATATATATATATATATATATAATATCTGTCGGCCATCTTGACAACAACGTATAACTACAAGTCGCAGCTGTGTCACTGAACTTGTCTGCACTAGTTCAGTGGCGTAGCGAGGTCGGGTGTCCCCCGGTGCGGCACTTAATGGTGTCACCCCCCAGAGGCGTTGCGACCCTTCCCTGGGACAAACTTTCAAGTTTTCGATTTGCACCCCCCCCCCCCTCAAACTTTCGATTTGCATCCCCCCCTCAAGTTTTTGATTTGCACACCCCCCCCCCCCCTCTCAAACTTTCCATTTGCACCCCCCCCCCTCAACTCAAAGTTTTCTCCATGTATTTTGCTATTTTTTGCCTTGGTGTCACCCCCCCTAAATGGTGTCACCCGGTGCGGTCCGCACCCCCTGCCCTAGTTATGTGCATGACAAAAATCTCCTATACGATAGTGCCCTAGTTATGTGCATGACAAAAATCTTCTGCACGATAGCCTGCCCTATTGACACTGCTAAGGATTCCCGTCTTCCTGTCTAGTGCAGGTCATGTACACCAATGTATCGCTGAGTTCACGTCAGTCATGTAACGATGAAACCTTTGAGATGTCAAAAACTTTTTTTTTTCTCCACACATTTTTATTTTCTCTTATTCGATGTATAGCGTATTGTAATCGTGCAAAAAAAAAAATCGAAATGGAGATCTTCAGAAAACTCTACGTTTTATACCTTCATGAGTCGGAAAAAACAACTCTGTGTGCATGTCTGTCTGTCTGTGAACACGACAACTTGAGGAGCTTTTCAGTTACGTTAAAGAAATTTCGGATATAAGTATAATATCAAATGTATCAACTTCTGAGCAATTTACGCTAACCGGAAGTGGTACATTTTCCACTACCGGTTATTCGAAACCCAATAACTTGAGTGCCGTTTAAGTTAAGTGGACGAAATTTTACACATTGTATGCATAAAATTATGTTTGAAATGATTTTTTGGTAACAGTAAGTGGAACTTTACTATATTTCCGCGAAAAACGATAACTTGAGTGCTGTTTTACTTAGATAGACGAAATTTCATAATCAAGTATAAGATCTTATTCTTGGATTAATTTCATTGTTTGAGTGACATCTGATATCCGGAAATGGTACTTAAATCTATTTCAGGTTTCTAAAATAGTGATAACATGACCGTCATGTAGGTGGACAAAACTTCAATAATAGATTTAAGATATTATTCATTGGCCTTTTCAAATTTGAGGAATTTCCGGAGTCTGAAGTAGAACATTACGCTATTTTTGGGGTCTCAAAAAACTATAAGAATTTATTTTGACAATTAGATGTGACTTACTAAGATGTTTAGTTTAAAAAAAAATTAAATAAATGTTTCCTTTAAAAAAGTAGGAATAAATGACAGGTGGGGCACAATTATGGACCAAATGACAGGTGGGGCACAATTATGGACCAAATGACAGGTTGAACACAATTATGGACCAAATGACCGGTGGGGCACAATTATGGACCAAATGACAGGTGGGGCACAATTATGGACCAAATGACCGGTGGGGCACAATTATGGACCAAATGACAGGTGGGGCACAATTATGGACCAAATGACCGGTGGGGCACAATTATGGACCAAATGACAGGTGGGGCACAATTATGGACCAAATGACAGGTGGAACACAATTATGGACCAAATGACCGGTGGGGCACAATTATGGACCAAATGACAGGTGGGGCACAATTATGGACCAAATGACCGGTGGGGCACAATTATGGACCAAATGACAGGTGGGGCACAATTATGGACCAAATGACCGGTGGGGCACAATTATGGACCAAATGACCGGTGGGGCACAATTATGGACCAAATGACAGGTGGGGCACAATTATGGACCAAATGACAGGTGGAACACAATTATGGACCAAATGACCGGTGGGGCACAATTATGGACCAAATGACCGGTGGGGCACAATTATGGACCAAATGACAATTGGGGCACAATTATGGACCAAATGACAGGTGGAACACAATTATGGACCAAATGACCGGTGGGGCACAATTATGGACCAAATGAGCGGTGGGGTACAATTATGGACCAAATGACAGGTGAGACACACTCGACATTGTTTGTGTCACGGCGTCACAATACCACGGCGTCACGCTGTCACAATATCACGGTGCTTTAAATCACTAGCACTTGTCACATTTAAATCATGGTCAAGTGTGGTAACATAATCAGTAACATAAGGTCAGTTGGTATTGGTTAACATTTGAGGTCAGCTGGTATTGGTTAACATTTGAGGTCAACCAGTGTGACGCAACATCAAACCGAGGTCAACCGGTGCTGTTTAATCTTTCAGACGATACGCTCGACGATTGTGCAGTCAAATGGAAGAAGTTTTTTATCCCGTCCCCCATGAGACCTTATGTGGGTGTACCGCTGGGGGAGGGGGGGGTCTTTCAATACTTAGCTACATTTGTCTCCACAGAAACCTTTTTCTGTACTCGCGATTTCTTTTATACTCCAGTGGAGTGCGTTTTCTTCTGAAGTATAAATAGACACTTTTAACACGATACATCACATTTGTATTCTGAGGTCGTCTATTGCTGTAGGGTATACATGAGTTTAAGCTGAAAGTTCAATAACGACTATCAGTTGTTGTTTACGAGAAATTTTAATTTTGTACATAAAACCCGTGCCGCGTCATGTATTAATATATTGACGAGATATAATTTAGAACTGAGTTAATGGACAGGTTTAACAGCGGGCCGAATATGACCCGCAGGCCGACGGTTGTTTAGACCCGCAGTACAAAATCCTTGAAATCAGATGCTTATGGCGTAAGTGAAGCAGAAAATAATTGAACCATCAAGCTTCCATTAACGGATCATAGCTAAGGGGAAACGACTCTCGGCGCCAATAAATCAAACAATAGTTTTTTAATGTCACATTGACATTTTGTGTTGTGAGGGAGGGGAGGGCAGTGACCACGTAACCAGTCAGGACACGCGTTTATCTCTATTACATTGTTGTTGTACGCCGTACAAATACGTTTTTCCTAGATCAGAGTTTCTTTCAGGGATCTCTCGGTTGGGGGGGGGGGGGGGATTTGCCGCCCAACACCCCCCGGAATATATGTCTAACGTATTTAAAATAAATGTATACAATTTATAAGGAAGATATACTCTAATTATAGTCCCCACCCTAGAGAAAAATGTCGGAAAGAAGCGCTGATAGTGAAAAGGGTGGGAATGGCAGATGTACGCTGTTGACTTTCAATGTGTCCGCCACTCGCGAATGTGGGTTAAAAATACCTCGGCCTTGACCTAGATGTTATATAACATTAACTTTAACCAGTGTCCGTACCCCCGGAAATTATACGTGCGTTCCCGGATGTTCAATCCCCCCGCTTCTTCTCCTCCTCATACCCCCCCCCCCCCTCCAACTCGGGAGAAAAATGTCTGAAAGAAAATCTGGTAATCTTGTCTAAGAGTCTTAGACTGCAGTGTCGGACTAGTATTTGGACGCTGTCAGAGGGGTGATACATTCTTGCGCTACAGTGGGGATTGAATTCATTTTTAAAAACTTGAACGAAATATCTGGGTTAGAAGTGGGTCAGAGATATGTACCCTTACAAAATCTGACCACAAACCCAGACAGACAATGGACATTGTGACTAAGTAAAAGCTGGTTAAAAAGTCTGACCACAAACCCAGACAGACAATGGACATTGTGACTAAGTAAAAGCTGGTTAAAAAATCTGACCACAAACCCAGACAGACAATGGACATTGTGACTAAGTAAAAGCTTGTTAAAAAATCTGACCACAAACCCAGACAGACAATGGACATTGTGACTAAGTAAAAGCTTGTTAAAAAATCTGACCACAAACCCAGACAGACAATGGACATTGTGACTAAGTAAAAGCTTGTTAAAAAATCTGACCACAAACCCAGACAGAAAATGGACATTGTGACTAAGTAAAAGCTGGTTAAAAAATCTGGACAACACAGCGAGACATCCATCTACCAACAACATCGTCAACAAGGGCGGTAACCTAATAGGTGGCGGGAGACGGAGTTGTCGCTCTGTGGCTGATCGAGTGCTCTACTCGGCGGGAAAATGGGCATTGGGATGTCAAGGTCGCTCTTCTGACAGGGAGAACGGCTTTAGTCTGGGTAAACAATTCCATTAGGATTCATATCTTCACGATGTACAAGCTGCTTTATGGTGTTTGCTGATGGAAAAACATACATTTTTTTTACAAGCTGTTAACGCGAATCTGTCTGTTTTTTGCTTGCTCCGACGTGGATCGAAACTGGCGAGCGAAATTTCAACCACTCTTACCAAACCTATTTGTTTCATATTTGATAAGTGGATATGGCAAGTTCCGATGACAATAAAACGCGACATTAAAAGTTGGTATAATTAGATGTTAATTAATTTAAAAAAAAACTAATTAAAGAAAAGCTCATCAACCCAGACAACCGTAGGTATCCACACAACCACACAACCCCACAACCAACTCAACCTACACAACCCACATAACCACACAACCAGTGGTCAATGTGGCACTGACGTCCTGCTGTCTATAGGTAAAGTATCCACCGATAAGGGTAGATGAAGTAGTGTTCAGCTGTTTTTGTGATTTCACAGCCATCTTAAAAAGCGGACATTACATCAGTAATTACTTGGCTTGTATGTCATCAGTAATTATATGACGCCAGTAATTAAGTGAC